GTATCGACACTGAAAAAGTCTTGGCAAGTTCACTTTCCCCTCTACAGAAGGATTCTGCTAGTATGGAAATCCACACCCAGTACCAGTGTAGTTGTCTTCTGGTGTTGACATACAGTGCAGTTAATCTAGCAATGGTTATGCTGTTTTGTTTATCCATATTTCTGGTACAAAACAGGAGATCCTTCCTAAAATCCCTAAAAGATCTGCTGATATATACTTTTTTACAGAATATATACAAATCTAAATTACTATTTTGTATCTTCTGAGATATAAGGAACTGTAATTAAAGTAGTAACTTATTTCTCATTATTGCTATGTGATATAAAAAGAATATGTATGGTTACTGTTTTCGCAAAGTCTATAAATTAAATATTGCTTCATATCTCATCCGCCGTTCACAGCCATCTGCATTTTCTGGGTTTGGTAAATTTAAAGGGCAATGAAATGTAGCAAACCGCTGTAGCAGGATGGGAGTGCCTACATGTTTAGATATATCAAAAAAATACTTTGTGGTTAAAATACTTTAAATTGCTTTATAAAGAGCTCAATTGCTAGCATCAGCTGTTTGTTACTTCTGATCTAGTCCACCAGATTTAGGTGAGGATTATTTTGAAAATCTCGTCTTTTCTGCGTGTTCTGGTCTTTCATACGCACAAACTCTGTTCTAGCTTTTGAAGACAGCCGATACTGAAAACAGTGCCAAAGTCTTTGTTTACAGAGATATACTGTGTTTGTGTGAAAACACAAAGATTGGAGGATTGGCTTTTGTCTCTTCACCTTGCGTGTCTCCTTTGGTTTGCACCCTCTTCAGGTTTATGGTAGTAACTGACATGGGCAGAGATCGGGACGTTTGCTAACCTAATAATCAACAATGTCCCATTATATATTTTAAAGCTGCGAAATGCTGTTATAAAAATAATTTCTCCAACATCTGGTACCCACAATGCTGCAGTGTCTACACACAGAGACCTCCAAAAGGAAGTTAGTGCAGGTGCATAAACAGTAACCCAGCCACTGGTATTACTAGTTTTGTACACGTTTGTGCGATGGAATACTTTTCTTTGAAAATCAATGTGACGTTTTGTTCTGCAACCGAAATGTTATGTTAATTGGGTTTGTTACCATAACAAACACTCACCGTAGGGCAGTGGTTCTCAATTATTTTCTGTCATGCCCCCCCTTGGGTACAGCAATGTTTTTACACCCCCCCACCCCCCTCTGCCCCACTCTCCTGCAAGTTGAAACGTTATTGAGAACCTGATAACAAGTATATTTTTTATCTGTACAAGCCACTGTATGAGTTGCTGCCACCTAGTGACTGGAGGCTTATAATCATTCAAGAATTACAGCAGTGGTACACTTATGTCCAGCATGCAATATTCCATTGGAAGTCCCTCACACCCACCCCCCAGGCACCTCACTGCGCCCCACTATTTGAGAAGTACTGCCTTAAGGTGTGGTCCCTCGTGTATCCTCTAGTTCAGGGGTTTTTTTAGAACAAAAAAATCTGGATACTTAGTGGTTGTGATGTCATTTTACTCACTGGCCTTAAAGGGTGTGTTGATGTGGACTGATTGGAAAGGTTAATGACCTCAGCAGTGTGGCAAAAAATATGGTATGGAATGTACTCCACGTTGGTCTGATTGTACCAGTTGAACGTTGTTGTTGTTTCACTCACTGACATATCGATGGGACCAGTATCCGTTTAGAGGCAGACACAGCTTCTCCCGTTAAACAAACTGGACGGATCACATCCATTCACACAACCCTTGTTTGATCAAAGAGAACATGGGAGCCTTTTTCTGTTGTGGTTTGGTGTACAGAGTGTGAATGCTGAACTCTGGTCCAGACCCAACACCTGCTGTCTTGTCCGCAGACATCTTGAAAATGATTTATTATTGCTATTGTGGACGTTACATAAGCAGTGCAAGTGACTGTAGAACCTGTTCTAATGGAGTGAAAAGCCCTGAACACCTTCATAAACACATAAACACACCTTCAGAGCAGTCGATAATGTGTTAATGGTAGAAGAACAGGAGCTGAATGTACACTATGAAGAATACAATAGTCCAAAACATTAAGAGGATCTTCTGTCTTTCCATCTTTTCCGTGTTTTGGTTCCAGTAGTAACATGTTTTGGATTGATAATTAATATGGGCAATATATACCTTAAGTGAAAACACACAGAATGTATTGACAGAATTATTTGACAACCAGAAGGGGAAAAAAACTCAGTTTAAAAACAATTCCCACCCATGTGTTCAGTAGGCTTTTGTCCCTTCCGGAAATGGACACAGCTTTTTAGAATTCTTTTTTAGGATCATGAAATAATGTTTTATATTCTTTAAAGTTCTCCAGTCTTTTTCAACAGACAACTTAGCCAAGTCAGATTCACAAAACACATTTTATCTCCATGAACTTTTCATATAAAAAATGTTAATACCGCCCTCAAATAAACCTTTTATTAGACTAAACATTCAAATGATATAGATCGATTTGGTGTTCTATTTAAATCATTTGAAATAGTAGCTGTAGAACACTGGGTTTTACAATAATTATTATAGGAAATAATATAATAAAGCAAATATTATCACAATTTACACAAATTTAGTCAAAGTTTCCATCGTATAATCGTTTGGGATTGAAAATGCATAATCAGAGCACTTTATAAACATGTTACGCCTTAATTCCCTATAATGTTGTCACCTTGTCAGATAATATGAAGTAGGAAGAGGTTAAGTCAGGGTTTGTCATGGGGCAAGTGAGTTTTGTTGATGTGTACTGACGGCCCATCTGGGCGCACACAACTTTATGTGCTCCAGCACTTTGCAATAAGGCCCAGTTCTGAAATTGGTATTTTTGAAGCCTGAACTTTGTGGAGCTAAAACTGACATTTCGTAGTTCGAGGTGGCTAGATCATAGCTTTGCCTCTAGTTAACACGATGCTTAAAATGAAGCTAACAATGAACATGCTAAAAATATAAACTATAACAGAAGAATTCCCTAATGCCTGGCGCTACTACACATTCGTATTATGTCTGTTGCTGTTTTCAGTATTTAGGTTAATATTGACTCGGTACTTCATGAGTGTTTAACAATTTTGTATGAATATGATTAAGCCTCCCCCTATTGGCCATGGCTAAGACTGCAACTAAAACTACCAGTCATACGCGGCACTCATTTACCTGGACGTGCGCTGACAATAAATTAGTTGGCCATAAATAATGCACCACCATACAATACCCCACATTCAACAAGAGCAATTATAAATAAAATAAAATAAAAATCCCACATTCAACAACAAAAGCAATTATAAATAAAATAAAATAAAAATACAACAAACAAAATAAATAACAAAACCAGAAGCCCGGAACTATGCTTAATATCTACACCTATACATGTAAGTATTTCTTGTCAGCCATTTTAAAGAGTGCTGTTAGCTCAGCACTGCTCATTAAAACTACGTTGTAGCGTCAGTTAAATTTACGTTAGAAATACGGAAGCAGTCGTCGACAATTTCCGTGTACATAGGAAAGACTATTAAACATTTTATTTCCTGCTGTCTGAAGCCGAAGAGGTATGTGCCTGTCATGTCACTGTGGGCCACGTAGGATGTGGGGGACGTAGGTAGGTAGAGCCCTGTGAACTAGATGAAGCTCAGGACGTCCATCTCTCATAGGTAGACAATGTCTAGGTCTGTGTGGTAGAACTGCACATGAGAACTATGTACTGTCCCTATTACCTGGTACTACTTCTTGTGGTGTGTCTTTTTGACTGTATATAGTGAATTATACTTATAAGTTTTAGGCCAATATGTTGTCCCCATACTAACGTTGTAAAAAAAAAAACTAACCATAAAATAATATTTAATCAAAGTAACCTTCCCCATTTCTTCCACATCCGTGTGAATACTATTTAATTAGTTTTAGTTTTTTTTAGTTTTTTTGTGAAGAGTACTAGGCTGCTGCAGTTCATTCATTCTCCTAATGATGGTATAAGCAGGTCTTGTACCAGTAAAGTGTTGACCAGTGTTCATGCTTGCTTCTTGTTTGAATTTAAAGACTACAATTTCACTTATTTTTAATGTGTTGGGAAAAAAAGAACACACTCTTGGTAGCCCTCTACATTGTAACAATTGTATCGTGATTCTAACAATTTATATTCAAAAAGAATGAAATTGGTAACTGAGGTCCCAGTAATGGCTGATAATATGAGCATTATTTTAAAAAAGTAAACACAACATTGTAACAACATTAAAACTGATAGTAATATTATTTGTAAACCGACATTAGCATCAAGTACTTTGTCCAGTTATGGTCCATGGATAACATTAAACTCATTTGAATGTAAATCCATACATGTGTCTTAGACATAGAATGTTTACAGGAATTGGTATTATTTAAATCTAGGGTTGCAAAAGTCAGTCTGGAAATGAAAACCAGAACTGACACATTGGTTTGGAGAGCACCTCTGAGTGAGCAGAAGTCTAATGAAAAATATGACTAATTTATTACACTAGGTTACATCAATTAACATTTTAATTTATCATTTGTAATCTCAGATTTCATTGAATTGAATCGGTCTCAGATGGGCTCAGACCCAGAACATTAATAATTGATGGATGGTTTAATCCACACAGCTCAGACCCAGAACAATAATTGATGGATGGTTTAATCCACACTTATTTCTCTCAACTGTATTAATCATTTCAGAGTTAATCAACTATCAAATCAAGACAAATGCATTACACAGCACATATTTGAAAAATATGAAGCTACACTGCTTTACAATAAAAGAGGAGAAAGACCTAATTTAAAAGACAGGGAGTTTATTCTAGAACCTAGAGGCCAATCTGGAAAGTTGACTTACTCTGCATTATTAAATAAATTAAAATAAAAAACAATCTATTAAAATGAGTAGGGCCAAAAATCATGACCATCTTGCACAGATGTGCAGTATAAAAACAGAGAAGCATCTTCTCAAGTGTCAACTAGTCACATTTTTCTGTTGACTTGGTTTTAAATAGAGTCTACTTCTGCCTCATTATGCAACCCAATGACTTTGCGTGTTTTTTTTATACATGCAATATATGATCATTAATGCTATTTTCTGCTGTTGTTAATCATAGCACACCTTTGAACTATGATTGTTCTTTTCTGCTGCCTCATAGTCCTCACATTCTTTAAAGTCCTGCTGCAAACACCCTTGAATCAAAGACCAAACTGCTGTGCACTGGGGACGTTAAATGTATTTTTCATAAAACTTACAGTAAGTTCTCTAAAGATCTAAATGTAGCTCTACAGCAAAATTATTCAATATTCTATATTTATTACCGTAACATTTTGTAGCTATTTCTCATCAGTGCAGGAATCAATAATGTGTGTTTTAGCGTTTGATCCAGCTGGGTGATGTGTGTTAATATTTGTTGATTCTATTTCCTCTTTTTTATTGTTATTGGGGTTTTTTCTGTCTTTTTTTTTAATGATATTCAAGTGCAACTGTTTAGTTTTTCAGACTTTGTAACAAGGCCTGTGAGTTAGCCTGAAAAGGTCTGGCCTTCACTGTATGTATGAAATTCTGCATTCATTCTACTAAATAAAATGTCATGTTGATATCAGTATAAAATTGGTCATATTTATCAGACAACACACACATACTTCACAGAAAACATCTTAACCGTTTGTGGCACTCATGAGCACTGACCAGAGCGGTTTCCAAACAACTGCATTTAATTGTTCCTAAAAATAGAGAATTATTTTCAATTCTTATTGCGGTTTCTGATTTTTCACAGAGATGTTTAGGGGCCAAAACCATAGGGTTGGAGGAGGCCATGTCCCTCAGCTTCTTCCACATCTGATAGCTACGATAGTCTAACCCCCCGAGTGCTTCTGAGTATCATCCAACAGGTGGAGCTGCTGCCCTATCCAAAGTCCTCTGAACAGTTCGTTTGTGGCTCTGGGGGTTAGTCTTGAACACTGACCACCTGCACATCACTGTTCACCACCGGTGAGCTTGAAACACTACTGTCTTATTTGCCGGTGTTTAAAGGTCAAAAGTCAAGCAGGTCACATAGATCATTTTCACTGAATATGTCCTGTTGAAAGCATTTGAACATTTTTAATTTGTATCACTGTAAGCTACTAATACATTTCAGTGCTAATTCTTGTCTTTACTCTAGAGTGTCCAATTCTACCTTCCATAAGGACCGCACAGCACTCAGCAAAATGGAGATATTATTATGATAGCCATGTGGATTCTTATAAATACTAAACCATGTACAACTACAAACTTCCACAGACATCTGTAAAGAATACAGACGAATGAAATGGACCCAGGACCCCAGAGAGACCCAGAGTCCAATCTGAAATTTCTTTTTTTTCTGCAGACGTTCTCAGGACATGTCCTTGATTGTGAGGATTTGCCTTAAATTCCAGGGTGTTGCCAAACCTCAAACAATCAAACTCATAAGCACCGACCAAACCAACTGTGTTTTAACCCTTTCTCTTCACTTCAGCTCCTCAGAGCTGCTAATCTTGACTCCATTGTTTCAATTTCTTCCATTGTCTCGTCATTAGCAGCTGCTGTGGCTCCAGCGGGCTCCAGTTCAGGCAGGCTGTCATCAACCTTGCTGGGTGCTTTGCCCAGAGCGCCGGCTGTGATCTCGAAGAGGATGTTCTCCACCTCGGCCTCTGCTTCTTCCTCCATCTCCTCGACCTCCTGCATGCCCTCAAATGTTTCTTCTAGCATTTCCTCAATGATGCCAGCTCTCATCATCTCTCGTGACAGCTCCCTCATGCTGGCCTGAATCTGAGGCACGTTTATCAGAGAATGCATGGATTTCATTATGTCCGTGCTCTTCTGCACGCAACCTGACACACGCAGTACAGCGAGCTGATTCTTCATACTAAGGAGCACAGAATTCATGTGCGCTTTAGAAGCACAGAGTTTCGTAATGGTTCGTTTAGACTTGATCATCTCTTTGGCAAGGATCATGCACACATCTTTCTGTCCTTTCTTGGCAGCATCTTTAATGGAGCGCTTTACTTTTTCCTGTTCTCTTTCAATGTTTTGAATTTCTCTATCAATGATTCTTGACTCCTTCCTGAATGTATGGGTCCACTCATTGATCAGTTCTTTGGGGGGCTTCGTCCGTGGCCTCCCAAACAATCTCATCCTATCTACTGCGATAAACGCGGAACCCGCCTGTCGGACCAACGTTGGCTGTTTAACACTGTTGCTCTCTGTGTTTCATGAAAGTTGTGAAATTGTACTGTCTTCTCCTTTGCTGTCCTTGGCAAATGTGGTAGCGAATCTGCCTTTGATCTGATCATGAGGTAGGTCATGAGCTGTTCAAAGGCAGTAGTCAAAGACACATTCTGGACAAATTGCTACAGTAGAACTCGGTTAATTCTTCTTTTTACTTCAGTTTATTCTCAGCAGAGGCACTGTGGTCTGCTGGGGAAACTTTAATATTCCTTTTTTTGCAAATCACAATTAAAAATGTTATGACTAATGTTTCGTGCATTAGTAGTCAACCCTAATAGAATTCAGTGGTTTTAATATTTCTCAAAAGCTAAGGAAGCAGAAAATTGCGTTAAAAAATTGCACATTAAATTAAATGATTGGACTAGGCCTAATGCCAACCTTTAGTCTTATTTATTTACAATTAACAATATCCATCCATACATCCATCCATTGTCATCCGCTTATCCGTTACCGGGTCGTGGGGGCAGCAGTCACCACCCAAATCACATTGCACCATACCAACCCCCAAACCTTCCTGCGGGTGGTGAGTCCACTGGAAGCAATTAACAATAATCAATGGATATTTTAGCAGCAAACATAAACATTTCCACTGTTCTTGTGGCCATATTGTACTGAACATGCCTGATCCAACCTTCGTGGAATATCACGCAACAAGCATTATGCAACCAGCAGAGGGTGCTGTAGATGCAGCAAAAGATGGGACACCTTTCTTTTTTCTGATGTGTAATTTCACAGAAAGCATGAAGACATTTAACAAAGACTATTACTTCTCATTAAGGAGTACACACTCTCGTGAAACATATTTGTTGTCGTGGGAGTTCCTGGTATTACCTCCCTTATCTTGAAACCTGATCAAATTTACAAGAAACCAAAGATTTCCTAACTGACCAGTGATGGCTGCTGATAGCAGATCAAAATATATGCTGAGGTAAAAAGTGTTTACATGTTTTAGTTTAATCCTTTTAAAATCAATTGCCAATAATGGCAAAATACTACTTTTACTTTTGAAATGACATCTCCTGGTAAAAGTTTTTTTCTTGTGAAATATGAATTCTCTTGATTTTTTTATAGAGCAAACATTAATTATATTAGACCCTGTTTTTGGATTGTATTACGTGCAATAGCAAAATAAAATGTATTATAATGAATAAATAAATATTTATATTAATTCTGTGGATAAAAATCCCAATTTTAAAAAACTGGAACATGTATTGTATTGCATTTAATACATTCCAAGTGAATTTTGAGCTCAAGTCTAAACTGCAGCCTATTTCTGTAGATTTTTGTATAATGTTCTTGATTGAATTATATGTATTAATTAGCAAATTAGAATACATTTCTTCAAATCAATCTTCCAGTTGTCAGTTATTTCATGGCTGTTGGCGTGTGTATTTTTTTTCCCGCGATCTGGGGGGAAAGGCTTTCCTATTTCATCCTTTTGGTCCTGAAAATCAGTAAAAAAAGAAAACATAAATAAATGATAGCCTATAACAGACGATGATTCTTTTGTGGTTTGAAACATGGGTTGACATTGTTAACATTTTCAGTGTTTTGACCAGCCCCACCTTGATCTGTTGACTAAGTTTCTCCAGGAACTCTATCTTTAGATGATAAGGCTTTTCCATCTGTTCTCTCTTTTCATCCTCTATTTTTACATAGGCATCATACTTCTTCTTTTGTTCTTCCACCTTCTTCGTCAGTGTTTTAATTTCCTTCTCCATCTCTGAAATCTAGCCACAAAGAAAAAGCTCATGATGCACAAATACTGCAAAAACACTCACAGGACACAAAATCAAAATCACGATTGTGTTTCCAAATAAACATTTGGCCTTACTTTTTTCTTTAGCTCAGGCAAGACCTGCTCAGAGAGACGTGCTTTCTTAATGCCGTAAATGATACTGTTTTCATACAGTGTCTGGTAGGCAGCAACAGTCATTTCAATTTCTCCTCTGACCTTCTCCAGCAGCATTCCTCTCTCAGGGCAGTCTGTAGTCACCTGTCTAAGTAACTCATCTATGTGAACATAAAAAGGAAGAATGTAACAGGAAGTCAAATTTTGTTCAACAAAATCAACATTTTCCACAGTTTTGGATCAATAACATTCATTCCAATTCAATCAATCAAGGCAACACACTTCTGTCGAGGCTTATTCTTAAGTCTCAACTTATGATGGGTTTCTCCAGCCCAATATAGAGTAGAAGGCCACATATGAAGGAAGTGTGGCTAAAAAACGTGTCTCATATTATCAATGACCTGGCACAAGATGTGGGCCACAAAGAACAGGATTTAATTCATAAACAGACTGTAGGAATGTTGACCACATTATGTTCAGTCAGGCATTGCTAAAAGATATGGCCCACAATTTGGTCCACCCTGCTATCTGGATACCTTGTTACCACAAAGACATTAGTGTTCACATGTTTTTTATGGGTTTTACCTACCAAAGCATTCAGCATAGATTTCCATGCGGACCGGACAGATGCCTGTTTTCCTGGCCTGCTGTTCGTGCAGCTTTCGTTCAAAGTCTTCCTCTAGGTACACAACATCTAGCCTTTTGCAAGGTGCATGGGACACCTGCTGCACCCATAATTGGTTTCCCCTCATCCACTTCCTGCAAAGGCAAACTTTTATTGTTAGAGAGGGATTTTCTTAAGATTGAATCTTAATAATATGGACTGCAAATAGAACGGAAACTGTACCTGGGAGGAAACATAGTGTTTAAGATGTCCTCAGTTTTCTGAACAGGTTCATCTCTAGGTCTAGAAGTTGTCGGCAGAGTCTGAGACTGTGGAGGCTGAGGACTCACACTAACGGAGAGCATCTGTAGACAATAGTATATTATATTGAACAACATAACGGACCTTTTATGGCTCTATGTTGGGCAAAACAACTTTGTTTGTATCAAAATAGGTCCAGAGAAGAAGATTTGGTTTGAATGAGATATTAATCAAATTCTTTTAATCTTGATGTCAGATGTGGGCCGCTATATGTTTATTATTAGGTGTAATAAATTATAGATTGTGATTTATCTTCATCTGAGATAGGCAGCTCTGTAGCCACATATTTAGATAACTGCAATAATAAATTCTAATCATACCATCATTTATGTCACGACAAAATATCACTATGTTGATTTGGTGAACTCACCTCTGTTAAGATGGAGCTCTCGTCTGTGCTGACCATAATTGGCACATCATACTTAAGGAGGGTTTCAGCTTGATTGGTTGGGTCCATTTTGTTCTAATGTGATACTTACTTACTCCAAAAAAGAATGGTTACAACCAGCAGTGTGTTACAACAGTTTGCATGTGTAATTTTGCAATGCCACTGTTCGCATAAAGAAAAATAACTTAACATCTGCCAACACCTTAACATCAAAGTTACATGTAAGAAATCATGTCATTATATCAAAGTCACAGAAGATGATGTCATCACTGAGCCAAAATGGCTACCTAAATGGTAGTTCCTGAGGCATTTTGGGGCCCATTTAGTATAATGACATCAGGTCCAACATAGTAAAGAACTAAAAGGAATAACAATAAGTAATGTTGTGCAGAAAAAACATTTTCACCCCTACGGTGTAGAGCAAAAGAATTGGACTAAACAGATAAACAGTGGTTCTCAAGTGGGAGTTTGCGTCCCCTTTGAGGTATTTAAAAGCACTTCAGAGTAGACATAAGATTTAGAAGGTAAATGTATATATTTTGGAGATGCATGCAAATTTATCTAAACAATCTATGTGTCTATACAGTTAGAAAACAATAGTGAAAGAGAGCAATTTGTTGCGATTTTTACTGTGTTACTACAAAGAGCCACATGATATACGTGGGCACACATGAATTAACCCCATTCCATATGAGAGCAAATTTGGTAGGCCTACACAACTGAATGGTTTTGCCTCCAAGTCATTTGCATCAACACCCATGGGCCAACACAAATTATGACATGAACATAGATGCTGCATGCAGGTCCCGAGCCACAGGTTGGCCATGCCTTCTTTAATGATTGCATAGTGTAGCCTGCAATAAAAAAAAAAAGACACAACTGTCTTGTATTGAGAAACTCCTGAGTTTGAGTGCCAGAAGGGCAATGTATGATGTGAGATCATTGTTAAATGAAATGTCAAAATAATATGTAACGGCAACGCCTTTTATTCTGTTAAAAATGCACAAAAGGCAATGCTTTTATTTTGAAGGCATGCTTTGGGTTTGTTTATCTAATAGCAGGGAACAGGTGGTCAAAATTGTACTCTTCTTGTTTTGTTCTAAGTAGTTAAATTGAAGCTAACCATTGTGTGGAGAGTAATAAAGATCTGTTTTACGGTTTTTATTTTCGTAAAAAATTATGATACAACTCTGTAAATACCGTGTTCCTGATATTAGTCTCATTGTTTCAATTATTGTACCTACTATTGATTTTTATTATCGGAATTTGAGCAACTTGGAACTTGTGATAAAAATAGCTGTCCATTCCCGGTGCCTGTAGGTCCCCTCCTTATTCACAAATACAGTTAACCGAAAATTGCACATCTATCGTGCATTTTGTAATAGTTTTCATTTACTATGAATTAGTAAAAGAAAACTGCGTGATATACGTAGTACTTAACAGTCAAAGGGTACGACTGTTTGCGGCAGGTTCAGAGACGGCCCTGTGACGTTAAAAGGGTAGGCGCGTCAAAGTTTTACGGTGAAGCGAGCGGGCGGTGCACTTCCATTTTGTATTTGCAGCATGAAGTGGGAGAAACTGATAGACTGTAATCAAACGAACCCAGAGCGGCAGGATAAGAGTGCAGAATAAAAGCACGTTTGGCGCGGCTTCTACTCGTAGAATTCCTCACGAGGAATAGGTGAAGACAAAGCTGAAAGCCGACAGTGATCGGCTTCTTCTCCGTAGGTCTGTGTGTTGATATTAAAACGAAGAGACACTTTTTAGAAACAACATTGTGTTAGAGAAGTGCTATTCAGATTTCCCTTGGTTCTAAAGTCAATCAAGTGACAGCCGCCTGCCCTCCGTGGGCACACGGAAATCCGTAAAAATGCCTCCTGTGGGAAACGACACCGGGAAGAATGAGCTCAGATCTCGGATTCAGCAGCTCATTGACTCCAACCAAGTGATGATTTTCAGCAAAAGCCGCTGCCCGTACTGCGTTAGGGTAAGTTAAAGGGGTCCGTGCGGCGGGAACATACGTCACTTGAATGCGGCTCTAAACTTGATTGTCATCGCGTTAGGTCCCTAAACCGGGCCGTCTTTGCTGCTTTGCCTTAAAGCGCAATAACTGTTACGCACTGCTCGGTGCCTTATGACTGACTTGGCAGTGTTTGCCAGATTTAAATGCCAATTTTTTTTTTTGTTCTTGTTGGTTAACAGTCGAATTTGTTCGACTGTTGTTCTTCAATTCATTTATATGTATATATTAGAAAACACAATAAAATTAGGTTACTTTATTTGAAAGGTAATACGAATATATAAAAAGGAAAGTCGAAATTATACACTTCATTATTCAAAATGTCCAACTGCTTGTTTTTAATTCAAATCTCCACTGTTAAATTTATATCTCTTTACCAAGAAATTTATCTAATCCGTTCAGTTTAAGCAAAGGTGTCAAAGTCACTTAATCCTTTGGCAAACAAGTACAACGTATAATAATTTTAGAAATCCACTTTCTGAATTCACTTTGTTTGAATGTTCTTTCACTGTTTTCCTAAAATATATTTTTTTGCGTTGTGTTAGATGCAGTCGTATAAAATGGCTACCACAACGTCTGAAACCACTAATTTGGTAGTTAAATATTATAACATGATGGTGAATATTTGGGTTTAACAAAAATCCCATAAATCATAATGTGCTTATTCTAATTGTTTAGTTATATTGGCATATAAAATATGCCAGACCTACAGAAATATGTTGAGCAATGTAGGTTTGTGCTGTAATATTTCCAGTGGCTGATATTTGATATTTCTCTGTAGAATGACAAAAGCTGTGTAAAAGACTTGCCTTTCACTGGTAACTGTCTCAGGGGCAATTAAGGACATTGGAAAACAATTAATTTAACGTTAAGATGATTAAGAACATGATTTAATAGGCTTAACTCTGATATATCAGACGATTAATCATTGCAGCCTAAGTTAATATTCACCCCACGCTTTCAAAAATTGACTTTTATATGAAAAGTTTCAATTCCACTTGTGAACAATCCTTGTAAGTGGTATTTATGTTTTCCAGGTGAAAGAGCTTTTCACACAGTTGAAAGTCACATGCAATGTGGTGGAGTTGGACCTCATGGGTAAGATGGCTCTTTCTCTTTATTTTTATCTTATTGATAAGATGAGAAACCAAGCTGAGTCTAATTGCCTACTTATTAATGACCTGAAATGACTTCTGCTCCATCACTCAGAACACATTAAGAACCGAAACATGAGCTAACAAACATGAGCTTGACTATATTCCATTTACAAATATCCCTCAGGACTGAGTTTATGCTAAACTCTTATTGATAGCAATACTGGTGTTTGACAGAGAATGTATCAAAGTTAGTAGGAAAACATAGTCATTCTGTGACACAACATTGAGCAATGCTGCTGAAATATTAAAATACAATAATTGTGTTAACATTAGCTTACCTCGCAGTGATGTTCTGTTTTTTGCTTTTCTCTGTCTCTAAGCCGCTGAACATACAGTACTTTGCACAAAATACTATAGGAGCAATAAAATATGTGTCTCTTCCCACTGCAATATACTTCACAATATACCAAGACACATTCTTGCATACAAAGCATGTTTGTTCTTCTTGCATGGCCAGTGGGTATTTTTTTTACATTGAGTAAAACTCCAACAGAGAGATTGATATTGGGGATAAACCCCTCCCCAAATGTACAGGGTTGCAGAGTTCATTTGTTGTGCTTTATGTGGATTAACGGAAGCATCGGCTTGTTGGGAATTGTAGTTCTAACCAGGACTCGTAGTATGGGCTGTTACTTAATCTCACCGTACGCAAGTGCTAAAAACCTGCTGAGTCATTCAAGCAGAATAGTTTGGCCTTCTGCCAGAGGTTTTTTGTTCTTTGTCTTGCCAAGTTCTGAGAGCTTCACTCTAAACACATGCTTGTAGCAAGTACTTAAAGAATAAGTAAATATTTCTGGTAATAAAATATTGAGATGTTATGCAAATAGTAAAATACATAGCAAGCAAATAAGTTTAGTTGATGTTAGTCATTTTTAAGCCACTCAATCATTTTTTATTATTATTTTAAAAATGCTGTACAGCAGGGATGGCCACTCTTTTTTGACTTTTGAGCTACTGTTCAAATGACCTTGATGGCTAAAGTGATCTACCTACATTGAAAACATTAAAATATATTTACTAATATAAGCTGAACATGCGTTATGTGCATGTCATATGTTTGGGTACTGATTAAATGCATCAAGGTCTATGGAACAATATGATTAAATGCTAATCATATATGGTCACTACTATGTAATATAGAATTATACATATATTATTTTAATTGACCACAATCTACCAGTGCTCCTTTGTGATCTTGTGGTAGAGTCCTGTTGTATAGCATGAAAATGTTTTCTAAAGTTACCTTAAATAAATTTGTTTTTACTTTTTTGTGTATACATACAGTATAAATAAATAAAGTAAAACCGTGTACAAGCAGCTGCAATTTGTTTATTCAAATATTTTTCTTTTTAATTTTAGTTCCCAGGTGTCACATGCAAAGTCGGAGAGCAAGGCAGCAAGAATTGCCTGTTCAGTCAGTCATTCACTAATATTGAAATCAAACTGTCATCATTTTACCTGCTTTTTCCGAAACTAAAATCGTCAGCACAACTTTTACTACTATAAAAGGTCCAGTTCTTTAAACCCAGTGGTGCACGTCTGCACAGGTTAACATCTGGTCCTGTTCTCTTCTAATATAATGTTATGGCCATAGCTTGAGTAAAAGGCAGCAACAGAGGACGTGACACAATATGTTACTCCACCAAGTTAGCAAATCTTTAACACCTAAACTGCGCTTTTTTTTTCTTTTAAACAGATCTGAAGATAAATTGAGGTTTGAGGAATTGCAGTGGCTCGCCTCTCGCTACAGTTGTTTCATTCAAATTTTGTCACATTAGGGACGTTAAATACGTGACGTGGAACAGCAACCTAACTTTCTAGTTCCTATTTTTAGAAATTGTCTCTGTGTCTTTGTCCAAGCTTTGTAGACAGAAACTGCTGATTTGTTTCTCTTTTTGTTTACAACTTTTTGAAGTAGCAAAACTATTTTGGGTGAATTCAATAATGTCATAACAGTATCCTGGATAATAAGACATGAAACAATGGCACGCAGCTGATCAACTTTCTGTCTCAATGCTGCTCTTGACATCGCTTTGTGTGTGAATCCAGAGGAAGGATCCAGCTACCAGGAGATGCTGCTGGAGATGACAGGACAGAGAACGGTTCCAAATGTCTTTGTCAACAAGAAGCACGTCGGCGGCTGTGACAATACAATGCAGGTAATAAATAAATCAGTGACTTGATTCCTATTCTGGTGTTTGGAAAAATTAGTTACATTTCACATTGAAGTTACACAATATACCTGGTATTTAAAAATTATTTTATACAATATTTTATTTTATTGTCACGTTGTTTGCCACTGAGTAGTCGTGTGTTTTCATCTTTTTGAAAATATGCTAATGCACCAACTGATTATCATTTTAAATGAGCTTTTTACAGCAGCA